GACACATAATAGATCCTCTGTGTTTTCTACAGAGTACTGCTCCACAAAGACTACCTGTGCTTAATTTGAGCATAATATTTTTTTGGTCAATAAGTAGGTGAGGGTCAATGTTTCCATGAAAGTCAACAATACCTGCAAATATAAAATAGCAAGTGCATAATACCAGCTTGAAAATATTTTAACAAAGTAGATGCAAAACTGTGTCTCTCATTTAAAATCTCAATTTATAAAAAATATGGAGACAATGATAAAAAACAGGATTCAAATAGACTACCAGCTTCTGTATGAGTCACCAACTGCAACAGACAACTAAGCAACCATCACGACTGAAACAGAAATGATATATCTGCTTTTTACTCAGCAGGACACAACCTCAGTGCTCAGCATGCGCACAAGTCCAAAAACAGCTTGTGCAACAGAAGCATGTTGCACAAGCAACATGCTTAAAAATTAAAATAAAAAATAAAAAAAAATTAAAAGGTAAAACTATAGTCACACTGCAAAAAATATAAATCTCAATAAGTTATTTTTTCTTAAAATAAGTGTGTTTTTCCTTGATTTGAGGAGATAAGTAAGACACTTTGCCAATGGAACAAGACAATTTCCTTTTAAAATAAGAAAAAACTATTTTATCGTCTTATTTCAAGTAAATATTATCTAACTATCTTATTTTAAGAGTGAAAATACTCATTCCATTGGCAAATCATCTTATTTACCTGCTCAAATTAAGGCTAAATATACTTAATTTAAGCCATTTTTTACTTATTTCTGGATTGTTTTTGCAGTGCAGGAGCTTTTAAAGTGGAACTAAACCTGAATGTACTTTTTTTTTTGTAGATAAACAGCATAAATTGAGTGTTAAGTGTACCACCTTTATGTTACTGCTAACAATTTTGCCATTTCTGAGTGACCCATATGTGTTGAAACCTGGCTAAAGCAGTTGAATCTTTCTATTGGTTACGAACAGTACAGCTTATCCCTAAGTATGCATTAAGAGTTCTGATTTAAAAGAGAAATTATATTTGCCTACTTCAGCTTTCCTCAATTGGCTTACCATATAATTCAGAACTGCATTTACAGCTTTTAATAAAGCGTAATTAAACATCATAGATTTGATTGTTCGATATGTTTCTAAAAGACCACTTTGCTCCCAGACTGCTGGTTTTCTAAATTAGAAAGGAAGTCAGGTCTTTCAGTTTTTAGATTTATTTTTTATTTATTATTTTTGCATAATTTTATTTATTTTTGCATAATTTCAGGGCAGGGCTTAAAATTTTATTTTTTGATAAAGGTTATAACTAGGGATGTCTCTGTAGTTATGATGCAATAGGCTTAGATTACTGGAGGACATGCAAAATACTTTCCCTCAGTCGGCTGCATTCTCCAAAAACTTGATTACTCTCCAAATGTAAATGTTTTCAGAATCAGAGTCAGAAATACTTTATTAATCCCAGAGGGAAGTTACTTTTGTTACACGCTCCAGTTACAGTTTTATATATATATACACACATCCAACTACACAAGATAATAAAGATAAAAACATTTAACTTTGTGTTCTCTCTCTTTTTTATTCACTTTTCAGAAGTTAAATCTGGCCTGGCATTGTTAAGCTGACAACATTGTGGTGGGAGGAATCGGCCTAGCTACTACTGTAAACTTCTTGTTCTCAAACAGATGACAAACATGGCTGCTGTCTATCAATGCTTACCCCAGTCTCTCTCCTAAATATAACTGTAAGTGCTCTTGGTCATCTTCTACAGTTATATGATGTCTTAGGTCTTATCTACTAGTCAGTGCTTTTCTCTTAGCAGAAACAATCTTTAAGATGTTATCCCTTGTGTATTGTGTCCTCAAAAGCCCCATTTGGTCGGGCTGCTCGATAAAGCAAAAATGGCATAATAATCATCATAATTATTTTGACTGAAATGAAGATCTAGATTGCTTAACATGTTTACTCATAAAATTTAATTATCGAAATATAAATATAAAACCTCGAACTCATCGCTATTCCTGACATTCTGAATTGAGGAAAGCTTCCTGGATGGGAAGCAAAACGTCTGCAAACTTGGAAACAAAGTCATTAGGTTTGTTTTTTTAAACTTTTTGGAATAAAATTATTAAAGAATAACAGCGTCTTTTAATTAATACATGTGTACATTTTCAGCCCTCCGGGTCATTGTAACCACAAAACAGGCTTAAATTAGAAGACCATCAGCCTTTTGCTTAGTTTTTCTGGGGATGTTCTGACACCTATTCAGGAGTCTTTGCCAATGCGCTTGGCTTTCACCAGATTAACCTGTAGTTGGAGTGTATTCAAGTACTATGGAGGTCCATTCTCTTTAAACACATTCTGAATCAGATGCAAATCAATTAACCACAATTAACCAATGTGAATACTGAACTGAATTTAAATGCTTTCTGTTGGAATGTATTTACTTGACTTGGAATCTCTCTGAATGAGTGGACGGAATGGATTGCTCTTACCCCAGGCTCACACCGACTCCGGTCTTACCGTTGCGGTGCGGTGGGTGCGGCGCCGCAGTGATTCCAAGTCATTAAAAAGACGTAAACCTCTCTCACCGGCTGCTGAGCTGTCCGGCTGCGGTTACCAAGACACTCCGGCGCTGCAGAAAATTCCGCAAGAAAGCTATCCTTGCGGCGTGCCGAAGCCCTCCGCAACAAGCTCTCGCAAATATCCTTATTTGGGCTGTGTTATCGCGTGAAGTTACGTGAACTCAAGTGAACTTCTGTTCTCGCGAGTTAAATCTCCGGACCTGTTGCCGGAGCCGCAGAGCCGCACCGCACCGTATTCAAAAGGGCGGTGTGAGAGGGGGTGTGCGGGAGTTGCGGTCTCCGTCGGCTCGGTAACCGCACCGGAGCCAGTGTGAGCAAGGGGTTATAGTAAAGAGCAGCAATGCATAAAGACTGGTTCTTCCAAGACCAAGACAAGACCTTCAGAGACCAAGGCTAAAGGTTTGGAATTCCTACAAATATTTCCGAAATTACTTTCCTACAAAAAATGCAAAAATGTATGGAATAATGGACAATGGATTACAGGATCCATTATGGATTTTAAAACATGGAAGATAAGATGGAATTTGTGATTTTGGATTCACTAAATGAGTCTTAATATTCACCTTGATGGCAGGTCGAGCTTTGCATGTAGATCATTACACTGTTAAGATTGGTCTTAAATTAATGCGTTCACAGAGTCGGCCACAATATTAGGAACAAGTCGGGGGAAAGGGGATCTTATACTTTACAAGAACCCTTCTTGTGTGGCTTCCCACGTTGCCCAAATTAAAAAATTGTCACTGCATTTGAACTAGAATTTGAGTTTTCATTTAAAAGGTTGCTTGTGACAATAATAGAACAGTGTAGCCCTATTGTTGGTGTGCGTTTTCTGTGAAAAGCATCTATCTGTTTATTTTAGTTTTTCTATTTATCAGCTAAATGGTAGAATTGGATGTCGAGCATATGTTTTGATTAGTTCAGTTTTTTGGTGGCGGATGTGCTTAAATAATACAGTACGTTGTCAAATTTGCTAGAAGACAATGAGGCACTTACTTGCCTTCAGAGTCTGCCGTAAATCAATCGTAAAACCAGAGGTAGTCCTGCTTACTGCACATTGCATGTTATTAACCGGTGCTATATAAATAAACTTATCTAAAATTGAATTCACGTTAATATGTAGCACTAAAAACCTGAAAAAGTAAGATATAAAACAGAAAAAGGTTTACTGACATTTCACCAATTAGAATTGATAAGACCAGTACACTTTCAGTGTGACATGGTGCTACTAGTAGGACAGCCATTGTCAATGCCAATAAGGGTGGAGAACTCTGTATAGCAACCATGCAATTAAATTATAAACAAGATAAATGAACCCTTATAAATATTTGATTTATTATTTGTTAAATGGACTGCAGTGGGTAGCACAGCTGCCTTGCAGCAAGAAGGTTCTGGGTTCGATTCCCGGCCCGGGGTCTTTTTGCATGGAGTTTTCATGTTCTCCCTGAGCATGCGTGGGTTCTCTCCGGGTACTCCGGCTTCCTCCCACAGTCCAAAAACATGACTGTTAGGTTAATTGGCTTCTCTAAATTCTCCTTAGGTGTGAGTGTGTGTGTGAATGGTTGTATGTCCTGTTAATGGATGGATGGATGTTAAATGGACTTTCTTAGTTTACGAATCAGACTTATTCAATTGAAAATCTGATGTTTTAAGGAGGAAAAGAAAAGATTAAGAGTCTGAGTTTTAAACATCCAGGGTAAATAAAAACCCTCTTACCAACAATACAAGGCGTTACCCATATAAAGGTGAGTGAACATAAGACATAGGAACATGGAAGCCCCATGTGCTGAGACCACGCAGGTCTACAATCCATGGATGTAAACAAAAAACAAACTAAAATATTCTTGGAGACATGGCATCTTTAAAAGCTAAATACCAGACTATATATTATTAAACCGTGTTTATAATTTATTAGGAAAAAATACGTGAAAAAAAACAGTAGTGAGTTTGAAAACATGAATTTCTATATTCAGAACGACATGAAATATTGATGTCAAAATGGATTTTTTCCAGGGATATGTTAACAATGCCCAAGAGCAGCTTTTAATGTGAAAATAAAAGAGCCTTCAGTGAATCCATGCTGCAGGGGACTGCAACTGGGAAAAAACACTCTGAATTGAAACTTCATAAGCCTGCTCTGATTGGTGAGGTTCATTTCTGCCAAGCCGGTGCTGAAATGTATATTAATATCATGGAATGATTAAGAAACAGCAAGAAGAAGAAAGTTAAAAGGGGAGTGGTTTTGTTAACATAGATTAGAACAGAAGATGAAGTGTTTTTTTTTTTTTTTTAACACAAGATTCAGGGCAGGAACACAGTTTTCAGCCTGGATTGTTCTAAAACAGATAAGTAGTTCATCACAATAACAGCTGCCGGTACTAACGCTAGTGTTGTTCCTACTGTGACTGCGTTGCTATAGATGTACACACCTGACCAGTGTCCAGTGGAAGTCCCAGACCGGTCAGTACATGTGTTACTGACGGGCAGAAATACAGTCTCCCAGCCGCCGGGGGCGTAGCGCCAATTGTGTGATTCCAGGATGAGTGTGCGTTGAGTGCCGTATGCAATCATGAAGCAGTAGACAACATGGTGCAGCTGGCAGCCATAACCGCAGCCCTTATTGATGTTACACACCAGCTTTCTTGCCTTACTGCAGTCAGGGGGATTCTGGAAAAAAAAAAAAAGGATAGTGTTTCAACATTTTTTTATTGGTCAACTTTCACCTTGTGCTTCTTGGAGGCCTGCTCTATGACATGTAATAACCAATGGCTCATATTGTTTTATTAGTTTTCATTGCTGGTCTCGTACTGAACTCTAATTTTATGTTGCCTGCTTGGGTCTTTCCCCAGTTTGTCTTTCAAAATTATATCTTCGGTTATCTTCAACTGTCAACTGTCCCTTTTGGAAAGCGGTATTGGAATATAAGTGATATGACATTTTTTATTTCTTTCATTTTCACAAACAATGAATGCAAAATAAAAAGACGGAAGAAGAACCTATCCAGTGCAATAAAGTTTGCCATTGCCGGTTGTCAACTTTTCCCCCCATTTCTTTCTGCTTTAGGATAATTACTCAGTACTTTTGATTTTTGTGGTATTCAAATGAGATCTCTCACTTAAGATTGTGCAAATGTTAATTGTTTTTAAAATGATTAGGAATTATTTCCATTAAACAGTGTCGTAGAACATGTTTTCTATAATTTTTTTATTTCAAACTTTTAGAATAGTTTTCCCTGATGTCTCTGACAATTTATGAATATCTATACACTGTTTAGATATTAGATGTGAAACCTCCTAAAACCTTACTAGATTGATGGATAATATTGTAAACGTACAAAGAAAGGAAGAAAAAGTAAATAAAAAAAGAAGGATGTAAAAAAGCCTGAAGGAAAGGATAAAGGAAAATGCAAGACAGCAATAAAGGAAGAAATCTAGAAATAAATGAAAAAAGAAGGAAGACAGAAAACAGTATAAAGGAAGAAAGGAAAGAGAAAGTGTGATACAAGAAAAAAAGGAAAAAAATCATTGACAAGGAAGGGAAAAAGGGAGGAACAAAAGATAAATGGAGGACAGATTGATGAATGACAAATGTTTAGTCTGCATCTCTTCAATAAACGGGTTTATAGAGAGACATCTACTGATTGCAGAAAAGAAGCAAAAGAAAAAGAGAAGGAACACAGAGTGGATTTATGGACAGAAAGTAGAGTCAATGGATGAACAGACTCAGGCTGTACCTTTTCTACTAAAGGTAACCAGAAAGGGATCTGCTCAAAGCTATTCATTTATAAAGGTTTATATATCAGGCAGTGGTGGAAGAAAAAAAAAATGAGATGCAAATATTCTTTCCCTCTCTATTTTCTTTTCTTTATATATTGGAATAGGTCTAAAGAATATCTCTAGACTTTTCGCAACTGTCTACAGACCCAGATACTCAGTAGAGGGTATCTTTTTCCAGAATAATACACAGCTATTAAAGCCACATTTGGCTTTTGTTTGGGGGATATCTGATAAAAGATAGAGTGCTTTTTAGCAGCTGTTTGGAAAATTGCTGCTTGTTTTCAAAATGGGCTGAAAGTCTCTGATGGACTCTGACTAATTCCTGATTTGTTAACAATAATAAAAATATAGAACAGTGCCAGCTCTATCCTTTAATCTCTTTATTGTAGCTTTTGCTTCATCCTATTCAGTTCTCATTGCTCTCTCATGCTTTATGTTTACTCTACTTTTTTTGTGAGCTAATTCTCAAGCTGTCCCTCTGCTCTCTCATCCTCCTATCTTTTAATATCCTTTGTTTCATCCTCCTTCTCACTTTCCAATTTTCTCGCTCTTAATTTATCAGCTCAAAAATGAGCTGCAACATTGTGCAGTCTGACGGGAAGAATACCAAATGAGAGGAGCTGGGAGATGGAACAATAAACTGTCTATTTTAGGGACAAAACAAGTGGAACGCAACAGATTGCTGCACGCTGTGCCACCGACGAGTTGCCGGGCGGGTTGTGATCCACTCTGCAGCCGATCTGAGCGACTGGAACGCTCGTGCCAACCAGCTTCCTAAACAGCAATTATTCGCTGATGGGAGTGTTTTCCTCATTAGCTGCTGCAGCTGTGGATAGTTCAGAGTAATCAGGCCGCCCAACACCCACTGGCTAACGCTGCCTATCAAGCACTAGCAGGAGAAGTAGAAGGCAAAACAGGAGGGGAAAAAAATAAAAAAGAGGCATAAGAGAAAAAATATAGAACACAAGGAGAGCTGAAATGAAAAAGGGATGGTAATTAAAAGAAGGTCAGAGGGAAGCAATTAGCAAAAAGGGACAGGAAGCTGCCCAAAACTGATTAACACTTCTGCTTTTCAATTACTTGAAGTGCAATGGCTGCAAAAGGGGACACAACAGACTACACAGGTACGTCTTTCTATTTCCAAGCTCTGAGTTCATCAGCAGTCCCACAGGTGTGAGCTAACCCACTAAAATCTACAGTGGCATCCAATTACAAAGGACCTTTTCAAAGCTTGCATTCTCTATAAAGACGGATGTAACTAAATCTGCGTGAGGTCATTTCATGGCACGAGTCACGGGGAGACGAAGCCACTGCAGAAACCCGGGGGTGCTAATGGAGTAGCTGGAAAGGGTGAGAACTGCAGGGAGGCACGGTTCAAGGATAATGACAACAGATGTGTGCACAGGAAGCACACTTTGGGTTAAGTGGCTCTTAAAATAATATTCTTCTCACATGTTAACATCCAGGGTCAGCTAAGGGGTTCGTAGAGATCACAGCGATATTACCAACTCAATTTGACAAAATTATGTAAAAAAAAGTCTTAATTAACCAGCTAACTATCCACTGTGCTGCCAATATTTACTTAACTCAAGATACTCATAGACAATTCAATTCAATTCAATTCAGTTTATTTATATAGCGCCAAATTCACAACACATGTCATCTCAAGGCACTTTACAGTTCAACCAGATCAAATTGATACAAAGTTTTCTATCTAAGGAAAACCAGTTGATTGCATTGACTCATTGACTCAAATACAATCCCCCACACTAAGCATGCTTGTAGCGACAGTGGAGAGGAAAAACTCCCTTTTAACAGGAAGAAACCTCCAGCAGAACCAGGCTCAGTGTGAGCGGCCATCTGCCGAGGCCGACTGGGGTTCAAGGAGACAGAAGCAGAGATACAAAAAGCAGCTGTAAAAGGCGGCCCCGTCCAGGAAACACACAGCCAGGCAGACGAGCTCCAAGGCAGCTCCCATGCCAGAGGACGAAGAAAGCACATCCACTCAGTCACGGTCAGAGAAACAGGACCACACTGGAAAACAGGCCGATCTCCAACATCTATAAACAAGGGTGTTGATAGAAGCAGCACAGCTGATGTTTCTTTCCAGGATGACGTCACAGCCAAACAGGAACAGACGAGGCAAAGCTACTCTGAGGAAAAGCAGAGAGAGCAGAAGGTTAGAGATTGAACTAACAGATTCTGCAGAATAGGAGAACAGAGAGAGAATGAAGCAGAATGATGAAATGGGGGTCCCTATGTCCTCCAGAAGTCTAAGCCTATAGCAGCATAACTATAGAGATAGCTCAGGATAACCTGAGCCACTCTAACTATAAGCTTTATCAAAAAGGAAAGTTTTAAGCCTAGCCTTAAAAGTAGACAGGGTGTCTGCCTCACGGACTAAAACTGGTAGTTGGTTCCACAGGAGAGGAGCCTGATAACTAAAAGATCTGCCTCCCATTCTACTTTTAGAAATTCTAGGAACCACTAGTAAACCTGCAGATTGAGAGCGAAGTGCTCTGTTAGGAACATAAGGAACAATCAGATCTCTGATATAAGATGGAGCTTGGCCATTTAAGGCTTTATATGTGAGAAGGAGGATTTTAAATTCTATTCTTGATTTAACAGGAAGCCAATGAAGAGAAGCCAGGATAGGCGAGATATGATCTCTCTTTTTAATTTTCATTAGAACTCTGGCTGCAGCATTTTGGATCAGCTGAAGGCTTTTAACTACAGTTTGTGGACTTCCTGATAGTAAAGAATTACAATAGTCCAGCCTTGAAGTAACAAATGCATGGACTAGTTTCTCAGCATCACCCCTGGACAGGATATTTCTAATTTTTGCAATGTTCCTCAGATGAAAGAAGGAAATTCTAGAAACCTCCTTGATATGGGACCTAAATGACAGGTCCTGATCAAAAACAACACCAAGATTTTTTACTTTATTATCTGAAATCAGTTTAATCCCATCCAAATGAAGTGACTGGCTAATCAGTTTCTTTTTCAGAGACTCTGGTCCAAAGACTATAACTTCTGTTTTGTCTGCATTCAGAAGCAGAAAGTTAAGAGTCATCCAGGTTTTTATGTCTTCAAGACATGCCTGTAATCTATGTAATGGGTTAGCTTCATCTGGATTTATAGACAGATATAGCTGGGTATCATCAGCATAACAGTGGAAATTAATCCCATGCTGTCTAATAATTCTACCAATTGGGAGCATGTATAAAGTAAAGAGAATTGGTCCTAGCACTGATCCCTGTGGTACTCCACAGGTAACCTTTGAGCGTGTTGAAGATCTATCATTAACATGAACAAACTGAATTCGATCAGATAGATAAGATTTAAACCAGTCTAGTGCTGTTCCTTTAATTCCAACAAAATATTCAAGTCTTTCTAAAAGAATATTATGGTCAACTGTATCAAATGCAGCACTAAGATCCAACAGGACGAGCACAGATACACTGTCACATATTTTCTACACTCTGCTGGCAAAAGACCTTCAGGATTTAGAGTAAGTTTGTTTTAAAGATATATTCACAACAGGCTTTACTTTCTCCTGTTACGAGAAAAAAATGGCACACAGATTTTAAAGTTAAATGGGAAAAATTTATATGAAGAAACGTTCATCAAGGTTTTACTGAGCCACAAGTAAATAAAATCTAACCATTTTGTTTACAATATAAAACTAAAAAAGTCTACTTATGATTGACATCCTTTTAAGCTAATTGACAACTTGTTAGAGACACATTTTCAGATTTTTTTCCTCCTCCTTTTTTACACATTTAAAAGTACCAAGTTAAACGTGGAATCGTGTCAGATATTTCCATAATGGTAAATGGCTGCCAGGATGGATAGATGAATAAGGGAAGGGATGCACAGATAAGCAGATGA